GCCCTTACCTTATACTTACAAAATTAACCGGTTATTTTCCATGTATCAAATTAACTGTACACCAATCCGGTAGGCAAAAAAGGAAAATGTTAACATGCTCAACACAAAAATAAAACATACAAAATAAAATGCGTTAATTACATTATAATTACAAGAGCTCCGCCTAGTGGTCAAATACTAACATAACAACTGTTACATCTCCAGTGAGACTTACCTGTTTTGATTTCTTGGGTACATTTGAAACAATTCAGCTGTTGTTACTAAAAAAAAGATGCTACTGGAAATCTCAGTAAACACATCCACCATCTCATGACTACCTGACAGACTGGCTGTAGCACATGATACTGGGAAGTGATCTGTCTGGTGTTGTGGGGCTGTGGTGTCTCCATTTCTAGTCACCTTGTACAACCTCAGACTTTCAATACAACTCTGGGTCATGCCGCATACAGAAATACTGTCATTAGTCTCCAGTAGTTTAATTTACAGAGCATTGTGGACAATCTTTTGGAGTGGTCTGAAAGGAATCATCTGCTTTTGAATGTGAAGAAGACCAGAGAGATGGTGATCACTTTCAGAAAGGAACAGGACAGCTACACAACCCTTGTCTACCCTGAGACAGGATGAGATGGGCATCCGCATCGACATCAGGCTGAACGGGAAGCCCAACACAGTTCAGTAAACAGGTGCAATTTACCAAGGAAGCTGAGACTGTTTAAAGTGTGCAGCAATATCATTTTCTAACAGTCCGCTGTGGTAAGTACAGTGTATTTTGCTGTGGTCTGCTGTTTAACGGCTGGCGACACCAACAGTGAAAATACTATACATCTGTGTGGCAGAGAGGCATCTCACATATGTAAGTACTGTAACAAAAAGATTTACTAAATAAAGGATGCATAAAGTATTTAACACCTCATCTCATTTTTGTGTGATTTGTTTAGCTGGTTAGTGTTTTTGTCTCACGGCTATGCAATCATATGCCTTTTTGGGATAAATCAACGGAGCGACTAAATAATGACTGATCTATATTATGAGACGCCTCTGTGGTTAAATCAAATTCAAACTTACTTCCTCTGAGATACTTTCAAAAACGTCTAACTGCTGTTATCATGTAAACTGACAAAGCAAACCAAAATGTAAAATAAAATTGAAACATTAAAGCCTTAAACTTAGGAGATGTTCAATGACTCAGCGGGGTATTTTTCCACTCCATTGAAATATTTTCACAGTTTCCAGGCACTCCCAAAAACAAATGCCTCTGCATTACTTGAAACATTCCTCTTAAGATATCGTTTAAATCATTGTACGTATTTTTCGGACCATAAGACACACTAGATTAGAAGGTGCACTGTAGATGAACGGGTGAATGTTAACTTTTATCGAGTGGTTAGCGTTTATCCTCCAGCTTCACTGTTTATATTATGCTAACATAGCTGTGTTGCTAGCAATCACGTAGCACATCATTATATACCAGCTAGCCCAAC